TAAATATATAGATTATTAGTAGTATTTGGTATTAAATAAAAACAAAAAACCATAACAAATAGTTGTCGCAGTTATTAGTACTACTAGACTAACAGCCCGTATATAATATATAATATACCACGAGATTAGTTAATGGTATAGTATTTTTCTGGTTGACAGACAGAGTGACAAAACATTATATCTGTATTAAAATCATTAATTTATGTGCAAAAATATGTATCGTTTTTGACACTTTTATGGCTGTGAATACTGTATATCGGAAGTTGTGATGGTGTAAAACATGTGCACAACTATTTGTGTAACATGTATAGTTATAGTTTTAGTGCTAGTTTAATTTTTGCTGTATTTATATCTATGTGAAATTGTGGTGTTTTTTATATATGGGTTTAATATGTATTTTACATTTCATTAATAATATCGTGAGAAACAGACATTAAGTGTGTAGAGAAGGGCCGCTTAAATATGCGTTAAATAAATGTTTTGTTTTTTATTTTACGGCAATTTTAATTTGAATATCAATTTGAAGCCACAGTTTATTAATTCATACAATTTATACAACATGTATATTAGGGTAAAATCAATTATACATAGAGATAACATAGTATACTTATGGTACGGATGTATGTGTTAATTGATTTTAATGGTATTCATAAAGTGTAGTGTAAATACAGAATGTAGAGTAGATTAAACATGGTTAAGTGTATTAGGCTCAACTAGCTTAATCACATAAGCACACCGATATATATATAATGCTTGTATTAATACCAGTGACCAGATTTGTATAACAAGTATGTTATATATAAGTCAAGAAACTCTTTGTTTTACTTTTTTGTTTCCCTCTCTTATCTCATGATTTAATTTAAGGCCATTATATATAATGCTTGTATTAATACCAGTGACCAGATTTGTATAACAAGTATGTTATATATAAGTCAAGAAACTCTTTGTTTTACTTTTTTGTTTCCCTCTCTTATCTCATGATTTAATTTAAGGCCAGAGATGTGAGGGAACGGTAGTTGGGATGTGACTACTGGTGCTCTGGTAATGGGGTGGCTGTGCTCTAGATTTTAATCTACATGTTTTAGCATAATATGCCTAAAAATAACAGCAGCACACTCACCAAAATATAAAAAATCATGCTAATCTAATTATACCATACATATAATGGTGATTAAAATATTATATAATGCATGTGTAATTCATATCAATTGAAACACTAAAACAATCTAGTTTATTAATACTATTTTGTATTACATAGAAATAATAAATTTATATTTAAAAATAAAATAATATAATAATAAAAATACCTTAATGCTAAATACGGGTGCAATAGATGTATGTAAATATGTTTTTAATTATAATGTTCTGTATATAAACAATGAAATGATAAAAATATTTATTTATATTTAATATGTAATACATGTCTGGCATTAAAGCCCTTTCCCATGGATTAGCTCACGGGTTGTGGTAAGGGTTGCAGTGGTTGGCCATCAGGCAAAAGGTCAGACCCCGGGAGCACTTGAACCCCGCAAATGTGTGTTTGTTTAGTTACATATATAGATCCGTAGATCTGGAGCACAACAACACATGATAATTGTGATGATATAATCAATTATAATTAGTGGTGAAGGGTTTAGGGGGTTATGTAACCAAAACAGCCCAACACTACAGCCATTGAAACCAATAGTATAAACATTTTTGTTGTGCTAACCCTTCAAGTGGTAACCATTTTTCAATGGACAGCCATTTAAGACATCGTTTTGTCTAAATATATAGACAGGGAATCCGTCCACTCTTTTAGTGTTTACTTTCTCTCAGTCTCTCTCTCTCAGTCTCTCTCTCTCAGTCTCTCTCTCTCTCTCTCTCTCTCTCTCGCACTCAGAGGACAGGGAGTTATTGAGTGATCAAATGATGGACGAAAGAGTCAATAGAGTATGAGAGAGACTCTGAGAGAGAGAGAGAGAGAGAGAGAGAGAGCTGATTGTTTGGACAATAAGTCATTGCAATGGCAAACATTTCCATTACAGATAACAGACTACTAACAGTCAATGTGTAACGACTAGTGCCGACTACCAGTCCCTCCGAAATACTCACCACTCGATTATAAGACTCGTTGTAGTCATCTATTATATGCCGAGACATGACTTAAACACAAACTGTTTTACTGTTATCTCTCTCTCTCTCTCTCTCCTCCGGAGAGAGCAAAACGAATGAATCAATCGATTGTTTTCATTCAATTTGCACTCATTTTACTGTTATTTTGCGCTCAACTCTAATGAACAACACGTATAGAGAGATATACTGTATATACTGTACTGTATATAACACACACACATACAAAGGCACAGAATATTCTGGTGCTATACTTGTATTGTATTGTATATAACGAGTAGTAATAAAGTAATAATAATAGTAAAACCCTTTTTGATTCTGTGCTCTGTTTTTAATTAACTCTTCACTTTCATTATACTCTGTAAAACACAGATAACTAACTATTTTGTACATTGAATACATTGTGCAGTACTCTTACGTATGTATTGTGTAATAAATAATTATTTCAAATCAGACCCGAAGACTATTGACGAGAGAGAGAGAGAGAGAGAGAGAGAGAGAGAGAAGTGAATTAATTGACTTAAACAACCATTAATTGAATCAATTAATTGGTTTCCCTTTTTGATGAATTGTATGGTTATAATGAACTAAAAACTGTTAGCCTTTTATATTTTATATGTTCACTATACAGTACACATGATATTAAATTATGATGTGCGTTTTTCTCTTACATCTATATATGTGTGTCTGTTTGGCGAATTAATCGTGATTGTTGTTTTACCACACGAGCATGGTTGTATTTATGTGTGTGAGCATGTTTGCATGTAAAGTATCATCATTTAAATATAAGCTTTTATATTATTTATGTAATAACACAAAGAATTTGTTGCGGAGAGAGAGATGAGTAAAAATAATAATGTAAAATATGTTTTTTATTTATGATTTGATATACACTTTATGAATGTGTAAAGTCTGGAGGCATAGGAAACACATAGTCTTACATAACATAACAAAACAACAAACATAAGACAAATGACTAGTGCACACACACTATATCCTTTTCACCGACAATCTCTCTCTCTCTCTCATCATTTAATATAATGGACACAACAATAATACTCGTGAGATATACATAACAAATACTGGTGTGATCTCCGGTGTGTCCTAATTGTATGCCTAAACTAATCACGTCTGAAAATCATAGCTGAGTTTCATAACTATTATAATTTGTTTTATTTTATACACTATATTGAGTGGGGAGAGAGAGAGAGAGACTTATAGTGAGGTTCACTATAATATGTATGTATAATAAAAGTTATAATAAATGGTTTTAAATTTTATATTTTTCTTAATTCTCACTCTCACTGCTAAATACAGACTACCGGTGCCCGCGAAAAGTGCATGATACATTTTTTAGTTGGTGTCAATGCATTTAAATTATATAGTTTTAGATGATGGTGATATTTTTCCACAAATATAAATATGTGTATAATTTATTTGTTAAAAACTTATCATGACAATCTGACTGTTGACTTGTTTATATAATGTGTACATTATATGCTCTTTAATGTCTTAGTGCTGTTTATAGTGTACTACAAAAAAATATTGTGATGACAAACAATATTTAATATAATAATACCCATATCTAGGGCTATTTCTGAGAGACAGTAATCAAACTCCTGGCGTATGATATGTAAAATTACCCAAAAATTAATGTCTTATTATATGATATGATATGTGTTTTGATGTAATAATAAGTTTTCATGTCTTCAGGATTTGTGTCTTGTTTTTCAAAACTTACACAAAAAAGTCACACAAAATAAAGTAAAACAAAATTAAACCATATTTTTCCAGTGATATGTGAAGTGACTTATCATAACATGTATACAGTATTTAATGCTATACTTAAGACTATAATTTCATTTTTTAGTTGGTGTCAATGCATTTAAATTATATAGTTTTAGATGATGGTGATATTTTTCCACAAATATAAATATGTGTATAATTTATTTGTTAAAAACTTATCATGACAATCTGACTGTTGACTGGTTTATATAATGTGTACATTATATGCTATTTAATGTCTTAGTGCTGTTTATAGTGTACTACCAAAAAAATATTGCGATGACAAACAATATTTGATATAATAATACCCATATCTAGGGCTATGTCTGAGAGACCAGTAATCAAACTCCTGGCAACATATGATATGTAAAATTAATGCCAAAAATTAATGTCTTATTATATGATATGATATGTGTTTTGATGTAATAATAACTTTTCATGTCTTCAGGATTTGTGTCTTGTTTTTCAAAACTTACACAAAAAAGTCACACAAAATAAAGTAAAACAAAATTAAACCATATTTTTCCAGTGATATGTGAAGTGACTTATCATAACATGTATACAGTATTTAATGCTATACTTAAGACTATAATTAGTTATACATGTTATGAAAACTTATGCTGAATATTACATAAAACATGGTAAACATATTTAAATCCCCAGTCACTAAACATGCGAACACATCACTGTTAATAATGTACACCCCATATAAATAAGTACACTATAAATATTATGGTGAAATAATGTTTGCGTTTTGATATGAGTCTTAACTTATAATATATGCCATAAATAACTTTATATAACATTCAAGAGATTATATATTTAAATATAATTTTATTTTTAAACGCAAATATTTCTGTACACTATATATGTATGGAAATAAATATATGGTGAAAGTGTATTTAATTTGGCACTTGATTAATGTATTCATACGTGTGTGTATATCATGATGGTGTTGTTGGCCTGGGATTAAGGCATACCAATTCCCGGGTCCGCCCTATGCTATAAACTATTGATTTAAAAATATTTTTATTTGCTTTAATAAACATTAGATTTAATTATAATACCGATGTGTTTATGGTATATCTGTTGGCAGGAATGTTATGGCCGGGTATGTAGTGTATAATACCCGGAGCCTCCCCTCTGCCCCTCCACTCCCCCTCTCCCGAGCCATGCGATACATATCAATAAAGTTTGAATGTAAAGAGAAATTGTATATAAAATTGTGTTTTTGTTGTATTTGTTTCATGACTTTTCAAAAGTGATATCAGTTTTCATTTTTAGATAACATATAATGTGTATTGAAATGTATTCAACAGTGAAAAATATGCTATCATTTCAAAAGTCTCTCTCTCTCTCTCTCCGCAACGAATTCTTAGTGTTATTACATAAATCATATAAAAGCTTATATTTAAATGATGATACTTTACATGCAAACATGCTCACACACATAAATACAACCATGCTCGTGTGGTAAANTCTCTCTCTCTCTCTCTCTCTCTCTCTCTCTCTCTCTCTCTCTCTCTCTCCGGACTCATAAACGCATGAAAAATCAAATATAATTTTTTTTATACAACAAGACTACTGGTGCCCACAAAAATTGTTTGTTAGCCTACCGGCCCTCCCAAACCCAAACCCAGACATTCAGTATTCATAATAAATATTTGCGTGTTTTCAATGACAATCACGCGATGGTCTCTCTCTCTTTCTCTCTCTCTCTCTCTCTTTCTCTCTCTCTCTCGCAGTGTCTATATATGTATGTGTCCTGTCATTGAAGATGGATATACAGACTAACCATCGCACTGGTAGTATTGGTGACTACCATGTATTTAATGGTGTGGTTGTTATGCATGTGTGTGCTGTTGATGATGAGCCCATTGCCACTGCCTTAAGACATATACCTATTTATAGTAAAACACAAAAGAAATTGTTGGATATATTTTATTTTGTAGTATTTTTTTGCAACATCTCTGATGTCTTTTATTATACATAATAATCGCTAGTTTTGGTTGAAAAACAGTGAAAACCGCTGAAAATTTGTGGCAATTTTCTGCTTTTTGATCTCTAGTTTTTCTCTCTTTCTCTCTCTCTCTCTCTCTCCGGAGGAGAGAGNGAGACTTTTGAAATGATAGCATATTTTTCACCGTTGAATACATTTCAATACACACTATATGTTATCTGAAAATGAAAACTGATATCACGCGATGGTCTCTCTCTCTCTCTCTTTCTTTCTTTCTCTCTCTCACTCGAGCTATTGATATCCAGCTTTTTGTATAGAAATAATTATTTTAAATACAGACAAATAGTGAATTTTTTAGAGTTTTATCATTAAAAACATTATATTCCTTGAGTTCATTGATATCCTATTGAAATATTTCTAACAATGATTTTTAGATACATTTTTTTATATCAATTGTTTTTGTTTTTGTTGTTTTGAAATAAAAATAAAATTTAAGTTTTGCTTTTAATATATAATAAATAGGTTTATGGCTTAATATGGGATTTAATTGAACCAATCCTTGAATACAATAAATATAAATAAAAACTTATTTTTATATCAATTGTTTGTCGGAAACATAAATCATGTAAAATATTTAATGTAATTTTTAAATACATTAAATACTTTTTAATCTTAACTAAAAGTAAAACTAAAAATAAAACTGAAAACTAAAAGTGGTTTTAAGACTAATTCATATCATTTTAAACGAGAAAAATATATTTATCACAAGTTTTTGATTTTTCTCAAACACAATACATAAGACATTTAGCGTTAAAACTTTTAAATTAAATATAGTCTTAAATTATATGCCATTTGTATTAAACACAACAACAAAAACTAAACTGTATTTGAAATTCAAATTTAAATGAAAAAAATATTTATTATATTTTTTATTTAAATTTATTTTCAGACATTTATTTTGCTTTTCGTTTTGCAAAGCGTTTTGAATTGTAGGACAACATACAGACGATGCCATCACGCCATTGATCTCTCTCCACATATCGTGGATCAGGTGTTGTTTCCGCACAAAGTTATCCTCAAACAGCCGTTTAAGAAGATTCCGTTTGAATCGATTCAATGGTTTAACAAGTCGTTGAATTTGCAACAAAAGCTGGCGGTCGTGGCATCACTTAAAGGCCACTCCCGTCCCACGCCTTACATAATATTTGGTCCGCCGGGCACTGGAAAGACGGTCACAATAGTTGAGTCAATACTACAAGTGTTTGATAAGTTGGGCGACAGTCGTATCATCGCCTGCACCGCAGCCAACAGTTCCGCCGATTTGATCGCTCAGAAGCTCTTAGAGAGCGGTCGAGTGTCTGAAACCGATTTGATACGTGTGTCGGCATTGCATCGTAAGTCTCACTACAAATGTTAATTGGGTTTTAATTTATCGACTGTTGATATGATTGCGGTTTAGGTATGAATTCAATCCCAGAAGCGGTTAAGAAAATCACGCAATCGGCCGATGAGGACGAGAAGAAATGGATATACCATAGGATTATAGTGACGACGACATCG